GTATTTTTAGGGAAGGGTCTACACGGTGTTCAGGGTCTCACTACAACTGCCATCTCAGTGTGCCTGCCAGCATGGCAGGTACAGGGATCAAACCCCCAGGGCTGAGCTATTTGGCTGGCCCTTATTTCTCCTTTTCAATAGTGATATCCTAATGAGTATGTAGCAATATCTCATTGTGGTCCTGATCTGGATTTTTCTCATAATTAGTGAGGGTGAGCATCTTTTCATGTTTTTGCTGACCATTTGTGTATCTTTTTTGGAAAAAGTCTATTCCAGTCCTTTGATGATTTTTTAATTGGGTTGTTTTGTTGTTGAAGTGTATGAGTTCCTTTTATATTCTAAAAATTAATCATCCGGTTTTAATATACTTGTAGAATTAAAAACCTTTAGGTTGGCAAGTATTTTCTCATATTCCATCCTCATTCCATAGACTGCCTTTTCATTTTGCTGCTTTCTTTGCTGAGCAGTTTTAAAGTTTGAAGTAGTCTTATTTATTTTTTGCCTTTGTTACCTGTGTCTTTGGTCTTATATGCAAGAAGTCGCCGACAAATCCAGTGTTGTGAAGCTCTTCCACTATGTCTGTTCTAAGAACCTTATTGTTAAAATCTTTAATCCAAGGGGCAGGCCAAGTAGCTCAGTAGATTAAAGTGCCTGCAAGGAGGTGCAGGGGGCAGGGGTTTCCAATCTCTAGACCTGCCATGCTGGCCCCAGTCCTGCCCCCGGGGCTCACTGAGATGAAGATTGAGACTGGGCCTGGTGGTGCGTGCCTGTAATCCCAGCTCTTGGGAGGCAGGAGAACTGGTACAAGTTCAATACTATCCTGGACTCAGTGAGTTCAAGGCCAGCCTGAACTACATTGTGAGACCCTGTCTGCAGAAACAAAACAAAAGAAATAATAAAAATATAATTACTATATTATCTACTAGTCCATTTAGTTGCATATGTACAAAAAAACAGAAAACAAGTTCTCCAAGAGATAAGTACACACTCATATTCACTACTGCATTATTTTTAATAACCATGAGGTAGAAGTATCTGTTCATTATTAGATAAATAAAGAAAATATAGTATATACAAGCAGAGGAATGTAATTCAGCCGTAAGTAAAAATAAGGTAACGCTGCTACATGTTACAATATGGATGAACCTTCAATAAATATTCTGTCTAAAAGGATAAAGACTGCAAGATTCAAGTTTAGTCAAAGGAGTCAAGTTTACAGTAGCAGAAAGGACAATGTGGTTACCAGGAGCTGAGGCCAGGGGAAAAAATCTGGAGTTGTTCAATGGACAGAGTTTTCTTTGCAAGTGAAAATGTTGTAGAGAACTATTATGTAACAGTGTGCATATACTGTTAACAATACTGCACTGTACTTGGGTTAGGCTAGCCAGTTTGGGTAGATATGGTTAGAGTAGTAATTTTTTTGTTTTTTTTTTTTTTGCGGAACTGGGGATTGAACTCAGGCCTCTGCACTTGCCAGGGAAGCGCTTATTCCACTGAGCCATCTCCCCAGCCCCAGTAATTTTTTTTTTTAAGTTTGGTGATACAGTGTTTTATTTAGAAAAAGATAAAAGGTATGAATTTTAAATGGCATATTAGTTAAACATAGCAGATGTATTTACACACCAAATAGGGAATAAATATACACTGATGGGAAAACAATTATCCACTTATTTATTTTGCACTTCCACTCTTCATCTTCTGTTTCAATTTTCTTTGCCTTCTGTAAATCTTTTTTTTTTTTTTCCTTGCTTTTTTTTTTTTTGGAACCGGGTATTTAACTCAGGCCCTTCTACTAAGCCATCTCCTCGGCCCCTTCCTTGCTTTTAAATCAACTTTTGTGTGCAGTTGCCTTGTTTTTGGTCTTTTTTTAAATTCTACTGTATTTTTTTGGTTGAACTGTTTTTTAGTGGAGGTTGAATTTTTTGTTTTTGGTGCTGAGGACCGAACCCAGGGCTTACTAGCTTGCCAGGCAAGCATTCTACCACTGAGCCAAATCCCCAGCCCCTTAAATCAACTTTTGGCTCTGGTTTTACCCACTGGATTCCTACTGTTTGTTCTCAGCTGGTATAACAAAAACATCTTCAGTAGGATCATGTGGAAGAACAGTCTTTGGCTCTTTCTTTCTCAGTTTCTGCACATCTTTTACTCGCAACTTCTTTCTATATTTTGCAGCTGCGATGGATCTTATGACCCGCCGATCATAAGATTGGTTTGGTGATTGGTAGTGAGGATTTTCGTATGAGGTTGGTCCTCTAAAACTTCCCTGA